TCAGAGTCTCAACAGTCACTACACAACACACCACTCGAGTGATGCCGTGAAGAAGTTTGTGTGCGATTGGGTCGGATGTGGTAAGAGGTTCAGAGCTAACGTCCCACTTATGGCACACATTAGGATCACTCACACGAAGGAGAAGCCCTTTCCGTGCGATGTATGCGACGAACGATTCGCAACCAAATTCTTCCTCAAACGCCACCAATTGACTCATCCGTCGGCACAAAGTCTTACGTGTGATTACACTGACTGTGCGTTTGAGACACTGTTTCACAACATTTTAACGGCTCATATGAAAGGCCACGACTTGAGCCCTCAGTTTCCGTGCGATGAAAGTGGATGTGATCGCAGTTTTTATACTCTAAGGGCTCTTAAGCAACACAAGAGTACGAGAATACATAACCCGGACTTTGTGTACAAAAAGCAGAAGAAACTTCATGTCTGCTATTGGATCGGCTGTGCGAAGAGTTTCCAATCCAATCACCTATTGGTGGCTCACATACGGCTCAGACATACCAATGAAAAGCCGTTCAAATGCGACGAATGCGGCAAAGAGTTTGCCATTGATTTGTATCTCAGAAAACATCAAAAACTGCATTCAATTGACAAACAATTTAAATGCGAATACAATGGCTGTTCGTACGAGACGTCCAGAAAAGCTGATTTTGATAGTCATGTGCTGAGACATACCGGCGTCCCTACTGTCAAATGCGATGAAATGGATTGCAATAAAAGTTTTTATACCGTAAATGCCCTCAAAGTGCATAAGAAGACCACTCATAGGGACGACCGGCCCCTGGCGTGCAATTGGCCGGGATGTGAGGCCCGCTTTAAGACCCGTACAGCCATTCGTCGCCATAAGAATATTCATTTAGGAGTTCCGAAGTATAGGTGCGATATAGAGGGCTGTCGTAAAAGTTTTGTGAATCCGGGATATTTGCGTCAACACGAGAGAGAGCACACGAAGCCGTTTGTGTGCAGTTGGCCGGCCTGTGAGCGCCGGTACGGCTCTAACGACAGACTCGTGGACCACCAGAACGCACACCTGGACCTCCGCGCCAACAAATGTCCGGTCAGTGGATGTGATCGCAGTTTCTTCAGTAAGCCTTCTGTGAGACAACACTTAAGACAAGTCCATAAATACGCCAAAACTGACGGACTTTTACCGATAACTAAACGATAGATAGTTTTGTGCGAAAATGTGTTGAACTCATTGGCATTGACTCCAGATTTGAATGAATATATCATTTAAATGAAATACAATTAAAAGTTTTAATTTAATTTAATTTAAGTTTTAATTAAAACTCAATTCCACTCACAGTTAAGCCGTTATTTATTGAACAATATGTTTGGCACTCAATCGGAATATTGATGTGTTTTATAACAAGCGATTTGCATTGAAATGAAGTGAATATGTAAGCGTAAAATAGTACCAAAAAGTGTGACAAACATTGAATGGAATGAAAGCGCGATTTGTTTGCCTTTTTGTGAATGAGTTTCCATTTGAATGAGTGATCCGTTTGACAGATAAGACAATGTCTTCCTCGGGATCTAATGGCACCACAAATGGCGCACAACTGCCACCAGACGTGTTGTACGCCATTGACTGCGAGCTCAATGAGTCGGTGTCCAAATCGGACGCACTTCGCTCGCAACTGATCCACTTGTCGGCCAAAAGGGATTCATTCACTGACGAGGAATACCAACACTTTCGCCTCAAACTCATGAATGCGTTGAACACAGAGATGGACAGACGGGACGGCAAGAACTCATACATACATCAGGAGATGTTTGCCAATCACATGAGCCAACGCTCTGATCAGTCGGCGCCCAACGGCTTTGAGTCCCATTTGTATCGACTGTCGGCTCAAGAGTTGTGCCAACGATTGGGCGTTGAGTACAAAGACAGTGACAATGACTGTGAGGTCGTGGAAGTGGTTCTGAAGCCATTGCCGATCACAACGGATGACAGGAACGACGCGCACAGAAAGCGAGACCAGAAGAAACCGTTTGTGTCGATTCCTGCAAAGAGTGGTAAACCCACGGATGAAGTGATCTATAATTGTGGTCAGAATTTGCCCAAAACTGATCTCTTGGGGAGTGTCGGCTCATTCAGAAGCGGTAATTATCTCACAATTTGATCCCAATTTAGCGATTAATTGATTGATTTATTTGTCACCGAAGGCTACAAAGAGAATACGGCTTCGACTTCGAGCGCTTCCAATAGGTCTCAGTTGCCATCGAATCCATGTCCGATTGGATCTCCGACTCGTATTTCGGGTTTATTTCGCACGAATTCACCCAAAAATGGCTACAAATCAGGTGANGATTTATTTGTCACCGAAGGCTACAAAGAGAATACGGCTTCGACTTCGAGCGCTTCCAATAGGTCTCAGTTGCCATCGAATCCATGTCCGATTGGATCTCCGACTCGTATTTCGGGTTTATTTCGCACGAATTCACCCAAAAATGGCTACAAATCAGGTGAGAGTGGGAGCGAAACGAGTGGCAAAAGGCCGGCATTTATGAGTGGATTCGAGAAGAAAGTGGTCGAAGAGGTGAAGAAGGGCTCAATGGATGTGTCGAAAGCGAGACAAGCGTTAAAACATATGAAGAACTCGTTTAAGAATCCGATGAAACAGAACAACACCGAGAATGAGGAGCCCATTGATCCGCACCTCAAGAATATTGATCCAAATCTCATAGAAGTGATTGAAAACGAGATAATCACTGCCTTAGAGCCCATCAATTGGTCGGACGTCGCGGGACTCGAGTTCGCGAAGAATAAGATCCAAGAGATCGCTGTTTTACCACTTCTTAGACCCGATCTGTTTCGCGGTTTAAGGAAACCACCGAAAGGTTTGTCTCAATAAGTTGTGAATTTAATGGACCAATGAATGAACGGTTGTGTCAATCGCACAGGTATTCTACTATTCGGACCGCCAGGCACTGGGAAGACATTTCTGGGCCGTTGTATCGCCTCTCAGACCAAATCGACTTTCTTTTCGATCACAGTGTCGGCGCTGAACAGCAAATGGATAGGAGAGGGCGAGAAGACTATACGCGCGATGTTTGCGGTCGCGAGGGCTCGACAGCCGTCCGTCATATTCATCGATGAGATCGACTCACTGCTGAAGACCCGGTGCGACAGCGAACACGAGTCCTCCCGACGCATGAAAACTGAGTTTTTGGCTCAATTTGAAGGCGTCGGCACCGTTTCGGACGAAAAGCTGCTGATAATCGGCGCCACAAACAGACCGCAAGAGTTAGATGACGCGGCCCGACGTCGACTGTCCGCCAAACTGTATATCCGACTGCCGGACGCCTCCGCTCGCAAACAAATCATCGAAAATTGCATTAAAACAGAGAAACACTGTTTACGCGAAGAGCAGATGCAGTCGTTGGCCGACCAGACGGACGGCTACTCGTGCGCTGATATGAGAGACCTGTGCCGCGAGTCAGCGATGGAACCGATGAGAGACTCCATTATTATGAGTAATATCACAGACATATCGGCCCATGAGATCCGTTGCATCACTTTCGAGGACTTTGTGAAAAACTTATCGTATGTTAAGCCGACGGTCAGGAAGGAAGACATCTCGATGTTTGAGAAGTGGAACCACGAGTTCGGCACCAATTGTCGACAAAATTAGGGTTTGTTTATTCAAAGAGTAATTGTAATTACATTTAATAGTACCGTAATTGTATTTAATGAATTTCACAGTAATTGTCATTTTCTATAAATGTTACTTTTGTCACCTTTTTATAATTTGTTTCAAAGAATGAATGAAGTGTTTATGTAATATATAAATAAAGATTTAGTTA